CTAGTAGTAATCAATTCTAGTTTGGACACAACTACATTTATCATTTTTTTCCTGAGCCTTTTTTGGTCAATTACGCACAAAGCTTAAGTCTGTCAGTTATCATCCATTTTTTCATTAATAGTTGTATTTTCCATCACAGTAGTTGCTCCTATGGCAACACATTCTCTAACCATTCCTTCAGAGCAACCACACTACTGCAAGTGAAAGACAATTGAAAGGGGCAGCCTACATCTGTCCCCTATTTTCTGTTAGGAAAGTGTGCAAGTAATTGGCCAACTAGTTTGATTGTTAACTATTTCAATATTAAAAAATATTTGCATCTATGACCAGTCAGAAGTAATATATGCAATTCCAGAAAAAGAAAAGCAGGTGACATATGTTGAAGTTTCCTTAGTACAGTTCCCTCTCAAAAGAAAAAAAAAATCAAACTATATAAATACAGATGATTACAGCATTCCAGACTTTATATTACTGGATGTTATGTACTAGGAGAATAATACCAGTTACATCTGGCTATTTCTGGAGAAGTCTGGGGCTTTTTTTTGGTTGGTTGGTGGAATTTTTACTTGCTAAGGGTATTAGGTTTGCATGCTGTCTGCCCTCTTCCTTCTCCCAGTAACTATTGAACTCATTAGATAATTCCAACAATTTTTTTTAATAGAAGGCTAGAGTTTCTCAAAAATATTAATTTTATACAAGTTTTATGTCCAACAGAGGAGAAAATCCCTTGGAAGCATCCTTAAAAAAAAAAAAAGAGAGCTGTTTCCAACCGCACTTAATGCCACACTTAATCCAACCTAAAAGGAGAATCCTTTGATACAGCAGGAGAATTTTGATTAGGTTTCCTTCCTCATTAGACAACAGAGAATTCTAGCAATGAGAAAAAGCTATAGAAAAACAAACTCCATTAGTTCTGCTTCTCCTGGATACACTTGTGAAACTTTAGGTCTTGGTTGGTTTGTTTTGGTTAAGGACGTGAAAGGGCAAAGGTAGGGAGAAGAAGTTATACATGTATTCTGCTAGTTTCATGAGGTCATCTTTCCACCAAACTTTATGCAACAGTTTTCTCAAGTAACTGTTGTCTGAATATTCATTTACAGATCTATAAAATATATGTATAGAACACAGCACTTAATTCTTTGGATGACCAAGAAAACTACGCTTGAGAAAATTAAAATTAAGCCTCTTCAAGAGCCTCTTCAACTGAAGATTGGAAAGAATAATTGCTGCAGCATGCTTAGGAGACTGATCCCTCAACCCCTGCCATGCCAAACCCATTATCACCCCAAAGGGGATAATAACTGTCATGCCTAGTCTCAAGCTCGAGTACATTTGTTAGTGCACTGACTGATACAGAAAACAAGGTCTAGCATAAGAGATGCTTCACACTAAAGTGTGCTAATGAATCAAAGCGACAGGAGAGAGTTTTAACCTTCGCAGAGCAAAGGAGTTGTTTGCTAACTAGTCAAGTAGAGGAAACAGGAGTCTAACAAAAGAGACATTTGTACACGCGAGGCAGTAAAACAAAGCTTCACTTTTTTTCAGTTCAGAAATAATAGCTTGACCATCTCCTGCATAAGGAGGAAACATAATTAGTTTCAGGGGGAAATAAAAAAAAAAAAAGAACCTGTCTGGACACCTTGGAAGTCTCCAAAGGAGAGGACCAGCTATGACAGTGAACCAAATCACATCTAAAGGATGTCAGGATAGTTCCAGTGAACAAATTCCCTCATCAGTGAATTCTAGGATTGAGGCTCCAAAACAGATTCTCCCTGAAGGGAGGACCCAAAGGTGAACAGCAAGGG